TTAGGAGCTGGACACTAAGACTGCGTCAAGATCCCATTAAAGTCCAGTGGACCTGGACAATGCCTCTGATTAGCATTTTAGCCGCTCCCGTTAATCAAGATAACATAGTAATAAATAAACCCAAACAAACCACTGCTCTACAAAACAAATCGGCCCAGTTCCAACTCCAAAAATCCCTTGGTTAGAGTAAGCTGTTATTAAAGCAAAATGATTTACTGATTAGCAAGAAAACATAGGGAGGAGATAAAGCAGTAAGAGCAGGAGAATGAATTAAGGGAAAGGTAAAAACATGACCCGGACCCATTACATACAGTGGTATAGTTTACAAAGGTATTGTGCCAACTAAAAGAACTTACATGATAGAGCTCTTGTGTTGAGTTAGCAAATTGATGGGGTGATATGCGACCGTGCATTTCGCTACCAGATAACGGTGTTGATTCTTTTTGTTCAGGATTGATCACCTATCAAACGTAAACATTCATAGTCAGGACTTAAAAGCTCAGAAATTGAAAAAAAAATTACCTTCTGAAGTGCTTGTGCCAGTCCATTGAGAGTGTCAACATGTATGTCTTCCGTCCCACTAGTCGTAGTCTGATTGGACAAATGCTCTTCTTCTTCCTTAACATATTTGGAGATCAAAACAGAAATAGCAAGAACCAACAGCTTCAAAAAAAAAAGAATTATTTTAATGAGTGGAGAATGCGTTTCGAAAGGCATCTTATATAGCAAAAGGCAAACCAAACTTGTTGGGTAAACTACTGCTACGAATTCAGTGCATGAAAATAAGAAACAAGAGTAGGAAAAGTTGTGAAAATCGTATATAAAATATACATTTTTAGAACGATCTAAACGTTCAAAATACGCAACTAGCGAATTTGATGTGCATAGAATACATGAGAGCGAGCATTAACAAAAACCCAAATTTAACGAAAACAAAAACGGTTTGCCAAGAAAAAAAGCAGAAAACTAACCTTTGGAGGCGGTAGTGCAGGCGGAGGTGGCTGCTGCACTGGCTGTGGAGCTGGTTGTTGCACTTGCTGTTGTTCTCGCTGCTGTTGAATTTGGCTAAGAACGGCAAGCTTCTCGCTCAGGCCTTAACAAAAGCATCATAACAAAGCTAAATGGTAACAGCTATAGTAAACAAACCTGCAAGATTTGTGGAAAGTTC